AGTCGTGTTTCATTGTGTGCAAGAGGAGAGCTGTCATGACAAACGCTATGGTTACTACACACCAGACTATCCACTATCCAGTTTACTAGCATCCAGAGGAAAAGTCACTGCTAGCTGTCAGCCTGTCAGGTGGCTGCCTAGCTGCCTAGCGCTGGTCAACGGGGCTATTTTAATAACCAGTCTTATCAGAGAACATGAATGACGACCAGGGCAGCACTAAGAAGTGTAAGGGAAACTGCAGTGGAGACACGACACCAGCAGTGAAACTTACTTGCGACTTTAGCATTCAGTGCCTACATACAAACAACACACAAACACACAAACAAATACACATAATTTATGGGAGACAGTTGTCTAAAGTCCCTAGGCTGCTTACAGTGCTCAATGCCCACTGAACAGAGCAAGTAATACAAATATTACACAGCAATGAATCAAACAAGTCTCATTCCGCTGTTACTCCGTAACAGCGGAAAACTACGGAGTAACAGCGGAATGAGACTTGTTTGATTCATTGCTGTGTAATATTTGTAATTTATGGGAGAGATAGAAAAACCAGTAAAATAAGCAGTAATGCACCGCACTCACGCACGCGCGCGCACCCCCCCCCCCCCCACACACACACACGCCCACACACTCACCCAACCCACACGTGCCCGCACACATCCATTCACGCACATACGCAAGGCTGTCCCACCCAGTTGGAAAGCGATACACATGTGGCAGCCAACAGCATACACACGCTGGGCAGGCCCCATACCTACTCGTGATGCCGTTAGCACCGTTAGCATCACAGATATCAATACATTTCACCCAATTTACATTATGACAATGCACAAAAATACATTCATCAAAGAGCGAGCTCCAATGTGGGAGCAAACCCATTGCTACAATAGCGCTCGGTGAAATCCGACCCGAAGTGAATTTTTGGCGCTTTGACCTTGCAGTGTCCTTGACGCCCTGGAAGTGGCACGATTCAGGCTGAACGTACACATGTACAAGTTCAGTGATGGAATCGGAACTGGTCCAGGGAGTCGGTTTTGAACTTGAGCTCGGATTTCAGTGAGAGCAACTGTAGTTGAAGATAAGATGATCTGGTACTAGTGTCAGCAGCTAGATAGGCTATTCAACTCTGCTGTATCTGCTCATGAAGATTAGCAAAACATGGCTTACCGCTGTGGCTGGTGCTGAGGATGTACGGGCGCGATAGCTAGTGGCACAATGATAGACACACACACATCCATATGTTCACAGAGAGAGGGGGAGAGAGAGAGAGAGAGAGAGAGAGAGAGAGAGACAGAGAGACAGAGAGAAAAGAGAGAGACAGAGAGAGACAGACAGACAGAGAAATAGATAAAGAGGAAGAGAGACCAATCCAGGTGTGCACGGAGAACAGGGTGTGCAAGTTCGACCTTAGACCTTACATATGCAAGGTGTTGCAAGTCTAAAAAAATTCAGCTCATTTCATGTTCAGTCTCCGAGGGCCAGAACTGTTTTCAGTCACATCAGACTTTCGACCTGTACTGTTACTGTCCATATGCACTTGAAAACAGGAGAAATCTGGTGCTAGTGCCTGCAGCTGGACAGGTTGTTGAACTCTACCAAGCCTGGTCCTAAAGACCATGCATGGTACATGGTGTAAGCGAAATTTCAAATTGATGGCTCGTGATGGCTCGGGCTGAAAAAAATTCACGGTTCGTGTTAGCCGAGTCATTCGTATCCGTAGGGACGCCACCACCCTCTGGGATCAAGGAACAGATGCAGCTCCTAAAGCGGTTGGAGGTGAGTAGATCAGACCCACCACAAAGTGGTAAAAGATCGAATATCCCATTCGCTGCATCGGGCTGAAATAATAGCTGAAAATTGATGCCGTGTTTTCCAGTTATAAGTCGGCCTTCTGTGACCTAAAAAATGAATTGAAAAAGGGAGCGTCGACTTACAACCAAGCTTCAACCGGTATTGATCGTCGAAAACAATTGACTACGTGCCGAATATTTGTTGATTTTCAGTACGTGAAACGGTGAAAGTGGTAAATGCTGTGTGCGCTTACCAAGCCAGAGACTTGTCCACAATGTTACCACGTATCTTGCCATAACCAATACTGCCATCTACACACACCCACACACACACACACACACACACACACACGCACGCACACCCACACACATGCACACACACGCACGCGCGCACAAACACGCACGCGCGTGCGCGCACACACACACACACAAGAGAAGAGAGTTAGACCACAGGAGGAGCAGCAGCAAACATGCTTACTACCCTAGACTAGAGAATACACAAGGCAGAACAACAAAGACCAATATCTTTCTCGTGACTCCGAGTTTCCTCTTAAAAACACTCATCAGACAGAAACACATAATCTGCTATTTGCTGGTTATATAGGGTAATTGCAATGTAGACAAGGCAGTGACCAGTGACCACTAGACTAGGGATAAACAAATATTCAACATGTGTCGTCCTAGAGCAAGTAAATGATTAGACTTGTGCCAAACCCCTCTGATAGAAAGAGCTCAGCAGTTACTTCTTCTTGGCTTGACTTACTTTCATCGCCAGCAACATCAAGCAGCCATACGCTGATGCGTGTGAACAAGCTACGGAGATCCTCCGGGAACTGGGACGCCGCTCTCTCTGCAAGCAGGTACACACAACACAAGGGCACACACAGAATCAATTTGTTGTTTCCGCCTTTCAGGCCACTTCATTCGGCCGTTATAAAGGTTATGCGATTAGCGTACATCATTGGTTGAGATGCTTTAGCGTGCTTGCGGCACAGCGCTGCACAGCACGCTGCATACCGTAAAACAGAAATTTTCGATGGTGTCATATTTTCGGTATTCTCCAAAATCGGCGGTTCGGTGGAGGGAAAATTTCAGTAAACCCATTTTCTAGGTAAGTGTGCTAGAACTGGTACCGAAATTCTCGGTGCGTTATATTTTAGGTTAAAATTCTCGGCACCTACGTTACCGAAAATACGCCACCGAAAAGTTCAGCTTTTATAGTGCATAGCGCCCATGAGCGGTTCCGCTGTATACTTAGCGTCAATAAGTGATTCCGCTGACTCATCCCTATGATAGAATTCCCTGTAGCCTGTATAGGGCTGGACGGTCGGGTTCTAGTTGCTACTGGCTACCAACCATGCCCAGGCATGCTACCAATATTCATCGGATTTAGATCTAGTTGTGTTCGCCAGGCAATCCAGCACTGTTCCACCAGCCCAAGATCTGTTGCAAAAGAAGGATCCACGAGTGAGATTTGAACCCAGCGCACCTGTCTTTCCGGGATAGTGCCCTACCAGGCTACTGGGGATCACACGCACACGTGTACCCGTGACTCCTTCACACACAGCAAGGGTGAAGAGTGTGTACACAAGCATTCAGCTATGTTACGGCTTAACGAAGTCAGCAATGCACCTCAGATCCGTGGTCTCACCATCTATTCTGGTCTCGGGTAGTGAAGTGTCGCGTAGCATTGCCATCTCTTCCTCCGTGTATGGCTGGCTGACAGTACGACAGCGGTTCTTGAACAGCTCGGTGAGCTTCTCCACGCCAACTCCTGCTATGTCCGCCTGTAAGGGGTGGAATGCATGCATGCACACACATGCACACAGCCATGCACATGCGCGCGTATCCACACGCACACACGCACATCCGCATGCACGCACACACACACACACACAGACAGACGATAGTAGACCAGTCAGGAAGATGTCCTATCTAGGACATGTCACTCTGATTGGTCACCTGTCCCAGGGTTGCCATGGAAGCATGGGTAGCATGCTCTCGATGAAAAGAAGTGCTGCGCAAGCTTTCTGAATGTATAGTGCCAAGAGAAGTGTAGGAAATGGGCAATGCAGTGCTAGTCTATGAAGGCAGTAGATACATACAGCATTATGATGCTCGAGACTATCGGGTTTCTCCGCCTTGAAGAAATCCCTGGCAGCCAGCATCTGTTCAACTTGTGACATGTACCCTTCCAAGTCACCAAACTGATGTACTCTGTACCCACACACAGACACAGACACGCATGCAGGCAGCCAGGCAGACAGACAGACAGACAGACAGACACACAGGCAGCCAGGAGAGAGAGAGAGAGAGAGAGAGAGAGAGAGAGAGAGAGAGAGAGAGAGAGAGAGAGAGAGAGAGAGAGAGAGAGAGAGAGAGAGAGAGAGAGAGAGAGAGAGAGAGAGAGAGAGAGAGAGAGAGAGAGAGAGAGAGAGAGAGAGAGAGAGAGAGAGAGAGAGAGAGAGAGAGAGAGAGAGAGAAAGAGAGAGAGAGAGAGAGAGAGAGAGAGAGAGAGAGAGAGAGAGAGAGAGAGAGAGAGAGAGAGAGGAGAGAGAGAGAGAGAGAGAGAGAGAGAGAGAGAGAGAGAGAGAGAGAGAGAGAGAGAGAGAGAGAGAGGACAGTAACATGATCAGACATAATAACAGTAATGTTACAATTGGAGAAACCGAACATACTTCTCCCAAAGATACACGCCACACTTGTGCGTTCAAAGGTGAAGCACTTTAAACATGATTCGATTGAAACAGCGTGGGTTTTGCTCTCATGCCGCCTATTGGGACAACTCTGCGTTTCCTGCAATATGCAGCACATTTTCATGTTCAGTCAGACGGACGGAGTTGTCATTCTTCAGGCCGTCCAGGTCAGGAGAACAGAGGTCTCAGGTCTCAGGTCTCCGAATGATCGGGGTGTTGCGACTATACAGTACTGTTGGGTGCCGAGGCACACGAACAGCGGCTAGGAATTCACCAAGCACAGCATACTATGTACCAATGCATGTACACGGTGACTCAACTCTGCATAGACTGTAGCACATGAAAAATAAGAACGGCCCAGGTTAGGAGGCAGACCCCCCCCCCCCCCCAGTTCTTCGGCACCCGGTAGTACTGTAGTGTCGGGATTGGCCAAGCAGGACTCTCATAAAGTACACTATATCTAACCACCCTTTTTGCTCCCCCAATTCTAACCAGATTTGAGCCCATGGGTACTCGCAGAAAACAACTACCCATTACCCAGATCTGATAGCCTTGGCGGTGTCACCGGTGTCATAGAAACTGACAATGCTAGCCATGATGTTGAGAACGCCTTGCACATCTGATACGTGTACATTGCAGTACAGGGTCAAGGTACAAATACTCAATCGTATGCTAGTGCACTGGAGCAAGCCACCCCTGATTTGGGTCCATGTAGTCACCCCTGACCTGGGTCAGGACAGTCACCCTTGGATTCGGGTCAAGACAGTCACCCCTGGATTTGGGTCAGGACAGTCACCCTTGGATTCGGGTCAAGACAGTCACCCCTGGATTTGGGTCAGGACAGTCACCCCTGGATTTGGGTCAGGACAGTCACCCCTGGATTCGGGTCAGGGTAGTTACCCTAGACCTGGGTCAGAACAGTAGCCCCTGATCTGGGTCATGCCAGTCATCTCTGATTTAGGTACGGGGAGCTACCACTGATCTGGGTCAGGACAGTCATAAGCGGATCTGAGCCAGTGCAGTAATCGCCAACCACCAGAGTCAAGTGTCCCTCAACCCAAATGTTGACAGTCCTTCCCTGAGCAGAGTCAAGCCCCCCCCCCCCCCCCCCCGAACCCACACACAGTCGCTAATGCAATCCTGCAAGCTGAACAAGACATTTCCCATAGACTACACTACAAAGGTGCTATGAAGATTGCCTATCGAAAATAGACCCATTGCACAATGCATGCCCTGGTGCAAGTAGAACACAAACCCATAACACAACATGCAATTGCTGGCAAAAGGATACTCTCTTGTTTCTTGATGAGAGTGTGACTGTGTTCTCGTAGATAGGCAAAACAGCTGTTTGCAAGCGACCCAGCCGATTCTCAAACGAGTTAAGACACGTCATCTGCGTGCACGGCAGAGAGAGAGAGAGAGAGAGAGAGAGAGAGAGAGAGAGAGAGAGAGAGAGAGAGAGAGAGAGAGAGAGAGAGAGAGAGAGAGAGAGAGAGAGAGAGAGAGAGAGAGAGAGAGAGAGAGAGAGAGAGAGAGAGAGAGAGAGAGAGAGAGAGAGAGAGAGAGCAAGTCATACTCCAGTCCTGGGTCAAACTGTTAAATTCTTCGGCGTCAAGCAGACTGTTTTATGCAACACAGCCAGAACCCACTCTGTGTGCATAACATGCATACTGGCACAGGCCCCCGTGCAGGTCTGTGCAGGCTTAAGTGGAAGCCACGAGTGGCCGAGGTCGGCTACCGCATACCGGTGAATCGAAAACACTCCAGCATCCTCGCCCCAGCTGCATATAGCTCGACTCTGACCCGGGGTCAACCCGGGCATGCACACAAACTCACCATGTTCTCGGAGAGAGCATTGCTCTTGCCCAGAGACTCTTTCAGAGCCTGCAAGTTTTGACGGTCCTGTGGGTAGAGAGAAAGAGTGCAGAAAGCACATGCACACACATGTACATGCAAGCACACATGCACACACACGCGCGCGCGCGCGCGCACACACACACACACACTCACATACACTCTCTCTCACACACACACACACACACACACACACACACACACACTCTCTCACACACACACACACACACACACACACACACACACACACACACACACACACACACACACACACACACACACATGTCCATACACACATAAACACATACAGACAGAGGTGCATGGTGGAAATGGTTTGGGAGATTGGCAGAGGTGGTATTCGTGGGTGTGTGTGGGGGGGGGAGTAGTGCCTGTGTGTGTGTGTGCACTGACATGTACATGTATGCACATGCATGCATGTAAGTGCATGTCCATGTGTGTGCACATGGGGGGGGGGGGGGGGTGCAAAATGGAAAATTGACCCTTGTTGCCAGTTCCTGCTGCACGATAACTTTGGTCAAAGTATGTGTGAGGATATGTGTACACAAGTCATGCAAGCGACTTGTGGATCAGACGAACAGCACTACCACCCACTGCACCTACATGCCACTTTAGCCAGGGATTGTCTCTCATAATACACTCATAGATGTGAAATGTTTGCAGTGATTTTACACAGCCTTAGGTAGGCTGATGGTCTCGGTACTTAATCCCCGTAGAATGCATAATACAATTACAGCCATTTCGACGTATGCAACATATTGATAAATCCAATTGTCACGTAGAAAATCACGTGTTTCAATTTACGTCTGATAGGGTCGTTTCGTCGAAATTTCAGCACATCGTCTACCTACTGGCTGGAGATCAGCTTGCAGTACCGCACTGCATACTTGAAGATAATTGCAGACAACTCACCACCTCAAGTTGAGCCTCGATGGCTCTTTTCCTCGTCGCCAGTTCATGAGCGTTGCGTTTTACCAGACATTCCTCGTTCTCACCGTCCACGCTGTCCATCCTCACAAACAGCACCGGTCACTCGACCAATAAACGAGTTTGTGGCTTATACACACGCCTGAAGATGAAGGATGCTGCCTGATCAAGGTCTCCAAGAGCAGAACATTTTCATTCTCTTCTTCGTCGAAACAGACAAACTGTTTGTCGTTTTAGATGACGCAGATTTTCTTTTTCTTCGTACAATCATGTACTTTCGACTTTCATCATGACGTCGGAGAAGAAATCACAGTCATGCAGTCTTTTGACATCTGTGAGTTGTAAATATACGACGCACGTGGTTTGGAACCGGACTCGTATCGTTGTCTACCGCATGGAGGACTCAAAGTGATGTGACCACATTGGTGGTTCAGTGGTAGAATCCTCGCCTGCCACGCGGGGGGCCCGGGTTCGATTCCCGGCCAATGCATCTTTTTTTCTTTTTCCGAATCTGCAATCATAGCAGGGCCAGGGTGTTTTTTTTTTACAAAAAAACCACACACCATTTGACGGCACAAAGCAGCAAGGCAGCGATGAGACATATGGAATGGCAGGAGTGGGGGTCCTGGGGGAGAGGCAGAGGCAGCTTGACCGACCATAGGGTCTTGGCTTCATTGCAACCCAAGCGCTCCACAAAAACAAAAGATTACGGAAAATACGCAGGGGGGGGGGGGGGGGGTAGATAACTAGGGATTACGGGGAAAAGTATGCACAATAAAAGGTTATCAGAGAGTCAACGAAGTGAATGGAGGAGGGAACAGAGTTAGAGCTAATTGCCCGCCATAAGGTTCGTATGGTTCTGCCAATTTCACTGCTTTTCGAGCATGTAGTCTTCTTTTATTCAGCGCTCTGGTCTTGCGCCGTATTGGCTCCTCTCCAATCTCCATAGGCTCCGGTCGCAGTCAAAGAATGCCTTCTACTTACTTATACCCTTCCCCCCCCCCCTTCGCTCCACTTGCCTTCAACTTGAGCTTTCAACTAACTTCAAGGCTAAAAGAAATACGGTCCACTGGAGCCGTAACATGGTCTAGCTGTGGTCAGCAGTGTGCGGTCGCCTCTCGTTCAGGGTGTGGATTAATTAACCCTTGAACCGTTAGAATAATGACCAGAGTATCTGTCGTCCATGCTACGACCTGTACAAGTAGAAACCCCTTTCGATATTACTCACTGATGTACACCCAACCGTCTGCTGATAATTATGCCAAAAGAAACCAACTCAGATACTCCTCTGGTCGTGGCTTGCGACCCGAGTGAATTCTAAAATAAACCTTTGAAGCACCTACCTCGAATAGGGCTTGGCGGATAATGCCGGCAGAAAAATTGGCAGAATTAAGTACATTTTCTGGTAATTTTATGCATGTTTGGTATGTGGATAAAGAAATGGAGCAGAATTCGAGGAATTGCCCGCCATAAGGTTTGTATGGTTCTGCCAATTTCGGTGCAAAAAAAGCAAAATCTGCCACCTTTTCGAGCATTATCCGCCAAGGCCTAACCTCGAACCTCCTGGGTGACTACTACCAGCAGGCAGCAGTATCGGATGATTAGATGATGAAGAGTACATAAGGGGTCTAACCGTTATGTACTCTTGACAATGATACAAGTAGGTTTACGACTAGCCTAGGATTACTCTAGCCTCAGCCTAATTCTATGCCAGCTACAGTTCTCACAACAACCTGGCCCAGAGTGTGATAACTACATGTACATGTGCATCGTGTGTTACGGCTTGTAGTGGCAATCACCAAGTAGTCGAATGCAAAGAGCATGGCACTGTTCCCCTAATACATGAAGTATCGTGAACCATTCTAGATCACGTGAGATGTTCATCATACAGGTACACCTCTGTGCTCTTCTCACGTCGTTTAAAACTGCTGAGCGCCATCGGTTCAACAGCTAAAAGAAGTCGCTGCCTGGCGCTGCAATGCTAGAAAATGCCAGGGCATCGCGGACCTGAGTATCCCCAACAAGCAGATGAACCTGACTAACTGCTATAGCGTGATACCTACCATGCAGCGATCAACTAGTGCAACATGAATGATGCCTGATTGGCTGTATGGCAATCATGAGTGTAAACGCCACACCGTGTAAGCAGCTAACCAGTAAAATAGAAGGTCGCACTCACTCTTCAAACATTCTTGTAGCGCGCACCAACTTGCAGCAGCAGAGTGGCCCCGAACTCACTCTACGGATGAACGACTTCCTGCCTGGTGATCTGCTATCACACTTCGCAAAAGTGCTACATCGAGTTTCGATGCAGCGTGAATTCTGCCTCGTCTCCTTGGCCCGGCTAGGACCGGAAATCACAAGTGATCACGTTGACTACCCTGACGTTGATGGTTTACCATGTGGTCTCAATGACAGGTTTTCGACACCTTTCACTTTGCAAACGCCTCATTTACCACCGTGGCCACGTCGAAGAGAACATTTTAGACTCGCGAATCGGAACAGCAGGGCTGTGGCCCTTGCATACTTCCAAACCCGGCACGCCAGCAGCAGCGGTGGCGTGCCAGAAGCAACCACCCTTCCCTTCCTACCATCGCAAAGGGGCAGAAGAATTTCGACAGACGGATCGTCTGCGTGGCTCGAATAGCTCACCAACATCTCAACATATCCACCTTGCCATCTAGTCGCCATTTAGCATTCTCTCAAAGATGTTTACCCCACACATATGGCGCGTACACGCATGTTCGGCCGGGCCAAGCCTCCAGCTACAATTTCCGCCGCAGGTATTCGTCTAACCCTGTTGTACTATCCATTATTCGGAGGGGCTGCACACTATTGAGCAGCCGAACAATGTACAAACAATGTACAATATATATACTATAGAATTGCATGAATTCCTTGTACTAGTAAATGCCTTATAACACTATTGTTCTATTGTGCTACGCGCTGCCTGTGATTACAGTACTCAAACTCCAAAGTCAGTTTAGTAATACTTCGACATCGGCGTCGAAGGGCTCGCTACTCACAGAGAAATCGTGTACCTTGTTAAAACCTGGCTCCCAGAGCAACATTCTCAAAGACATAAGAGTAGAATAGAACTATGCATTTCTACAAGGCGACCTTAACTTTGGAACTGGTTTCTATGATAGTACCAAGCACGAGTAGAGCTATTGATTGTGTTATAATAACACACTTGTCAGTTGGGCGTGAACGAATCTCACCGCCCAGTCCCAGGTTAGGCATGTAGTAGTTGTGCGTATCCGATCACAATAGCAGAGATTGAATTTAGCATCGTCAGCTACCTTAACGGGAGACGGGTCGATGATACCGAACTGTTATAACCAAATCGGGGAATTTCCCGTGATACACACCTACATTGTGGTTAACGCCTGGTGGGATAGGTGATTAGGCATATGCGGATAATGCCGGCAGAAAAATTGGCAGAATTCGGTACTTTTTCTGGTAAGTTTCATGCATGTTTGGTATGTGGATAAAGAAATGGAGCAGAATTCGAGGAATTGCCCGCCATAAGGTTTGTATGGTTCTGCCAATTTCACTGCTTTTCGGGCAGAATCTGCCACCTTTTCGGGCAGAATCTGCCACCTTTTCGGGCAGAGTCTGCCACCTTTTCGGGCAGAATCTGCCACCTTTTCGGGCAGAATCTGCCACCTTTTCGGGCAGAATCTGCCACCTTTTCGGGCAGAATCTGCCACCTTTTCGGGCAGAATCTGCCACCTTTTCGGGCAGAATCTGCCACCTTTTCGGGCAGAATCTGCCACCTTTTCGGGCAGAATCTGCCACCTTTTCAGGCAGAATCCGCACACCCCTATAGGTGATGCGTTAGCTCAGCGGAGTAAACGCCTGCTCGTCCTGTCAATAAACACTGTGTTCGCTGTATTGTAGAGAGATGGTGGACACACGTGGCAAGATTGTGGTCAATACACACCTGCACACGCAACGCTCTAAGCTGCAACATCGTGGCAAAGAGCGCTTCTTTCTCACCGTCAAGTGTTTGAGCATGGCTTCTAGTGCTCACTATTATTATCATCATCAAAATAATGGCAAAATATCACGCAACATTAAAAAAAGAGGAACATGAGTTTACATCAGTACATGTATACAAGTTATCCGTTTTGTCCAACACTAATGCTTATACGCAGGATGTTGGCGAGCCAGAATGTGCAATAGGCCTGCTTACAATCGTTTGTGTTGGAAACAAAGGAAAACTCAGTTGTATGCTTATGGTACTCTGTAAAATCCTTGGCTCTGCATCCGAGTCTTATCACCCAACACCTGACGTAATATGTCAGGTGTTGGGTGATAGTATTTGGATGTCAATTGTCACTAGGTATGACGATCGTAAGACACGAAGTCGCCGACAGTCCGTGTTTGTATGTAACCAATGTCTTCAAGAGGATTGTTGTGTTCCCTGTTCAACATCAATTAGCCATTACAGTACATGTAATATTAATAGTAAAGTTGACATGATCACTGCATGTTGTAAAGCTGCACTGCAAGTCGCGCAGATCTTCAACCGGACAATTACATTCAATGTATGGGTGATGTTTAATTAAGTCGTGACTTGTTTGTGACAATCACATTCATTGTATGAGTGATGTTTAAGTCGTGACTTGTTTGTTTGCGTGTAACATGTATACATGTACATGTAATTTTATCTTCGATCATCTGATGAGTGATTTTGAACACGAAACTCGGAGTAACGAGAACGATTTTTGGTCTCTGTTGTTCTGCGGCCTTGTGTATTTATCTTCACACATTATCGAATAGCACAACGCACAATAGCATAATAGAATATGGAGGCACGAATACAGAAGGATGAGGTAACACTGCCGACACAAGTATAATGTAGGTGTCAGTAAGACAACCAAACCCCAAACAGATGACCCAGTATTGTTTTCCCGCTTGACTAGCTGTTATGCAAGACCACGCGTGGCCCAGAGTGATCGAGGACAATAATTCTCGCAGTCGACACTGCATGTCTACGCTAGTCTCGATGCTGCGCTGTCTTCCGCTGTACTCCACTTTCAATCTTCGTTGAAGCCTAGTTAGTGTCCTTGCTAGTTGAGTTGTGGACCAGACTAAGCTGAGTATCAGATATTGAAGTGCTATTGGGGATCGTGTTGTCCAATGACGATGAGCTGGCACTTGTGAGCTATTGAAATCACATCAGCATGCATCCGAGCGAATTTTG